ACCATCAGCTGTGGAGGAAGGGACCATATCCGCCTGGTTCACCACTGTATCCACTGCCTGCCACACACTGAGATATGAATAACACAGCGGCTAAGAGTGCAGCCAGACTGTTCGGGTTGGTGACCTTGGGCAGGTCCTTTAACCGCTCAGGGCCCGGATTCTCCATTCATAAAATGCAGATAATTATAATCCTTATAACAACAGGGTCCTTTTGAAACTTAAATGAATTAATACCTGTAAGTGCTAACAGTACCTGGCACGTAGTAAGTGCTCAGTAAATGTAAACCTTGAATACAGGAAGTGCTGAATAATGATATACTGTGACAATGAACCCACTAGCCGGGCCCCAGGAGAAGGAAATGCAGGCATTGCTGGCAGTGGACGTCCTCAGATAAATAATTCACACCGGCTGCTGAGCAGCCTCTGTTCTCTGGAAGCAGAAAGTTTCTGAGCAGCCCAGGGCCAGGGACATTGCCTCCTCGGCAGAATCTTCGACCTGGCTCCCCTTGCCCTGCCCTTCAGGACATTGGCACCTTAGACTCTTAGCTGGAGCCAAGTAGAAACCCACTTTAATTTTTCATTGCCTTAATTTCAGGGGCGCTGATAAGATTTCAATGATATCTGGTGCTTAGAAATCCTGTCTTTGATGGACAGCCTTTCAGTAAAGCCTCTGCTGTTCTAAAGCTAATTTCCCCAAACATGGTCCTGAAGACATTTCAAAGGAGCGATTGATGTCCTGGGGCTTATCATGCAGAAGGGGACTGAGGAGAGATAGGGAGGGGGTGGGGGACAGGCCCCAGCCGCCTGCTCAGTGGCCCCTCCCCAGCCCCTGGCATATTGCTTGTGCCTGGCGCCCAAAGTGTGTGCATGTCTTCTCCCCTTGCCCCCATAAGCCACAGGCTTCTTGACGACTGGCCTCATGTCTAATTCATCTTGCCCTGCACATAGTAGGTGCTTACTACAGGTTTCTTGAGATAAATTGAAAGGAGCTGGCCTATAACCATATATGGTGTTTCCTCTCAAAGTGTAGGAGACCTTGAAGATGAAATAGTCCAACCTGTTCCTGCTACAGACAAGGAAAGGGAGTTGCCCAAGGTCTCGGGACATTAGTGACAAGGGAAGGGAGACACAGGATTCCATTTTCAGGGGGAGCCATCTACTCCTTCAGTTAGCATTTCCTCACTCAAGCATTCACCAAGTCTTTATTTGGCGGCTACCATGTGTCCAGCACTGTGTCAGGCCTGCCCGCAGTGAATGGCAAAACTCGAAAAGAGCAGCGGTCCCTAAGCACCCACTGTGTGTCAGACACTGTGCTGGGCACCAGAGATGCAAAAATGACCAAGACGACATCCCCATCCATTAGAAGGACCAAGGAAGGAGGATCAAAGTGTCAGGAGACCAGAGTCTCTGTCATCAAATTGCTGGTGGGGGAGACAGGACTCCTATACACGAAACATTCAAATAACAGGTGGGGACAAAGCTGTATGTTGGTGACTATCAATTAGATCCTTGAATCCCTGGGCAGACATCCAGGAAGGCTTCCTGGAGAAGGAGACCCTATAGGATGAGGGCTGCTGAGTGGCTGCTGGCCTTGGGGCATGAACTAGAGGCCACAGTATGTGGATTCTTACCCCAATATAGAGGCGTGGAGGGTCCTGAAAAGTGAAGCAGGGAGATTCCCTGGGGGTTAGCAGGGCAGGACCTCTCAGGGGAATTATCCCCCTTCAACTACAGGGAAACGGGCCTAGAGAAGGTAGCTGATGAAGCTATGCCCCTTCAGCATTTGGAGAGCCTCCCACCAGGCCAAGGTCAGCCCCTTCGACCACACTAGTAACTCCCCTTCTAGAACTGGTCACTCCGCACAGAGGGAGCCCTGGGCCCTTCTCCCCACTTAGGTCCCAAAGTCTTAAATTCCAGGTAGTTCTTAGGACATAAATGAAGTTCAAACATGAGCCCCACTCCCACAGAATCAAGGCCTAGAATAGAATAATTGCCAAATCCTAGGACCCAGTGGGCCTTTGCAAGCCACCTGCAATCCCAGCATCGTCACCTTATCCCTGTGGTTCTAATCTCCCAGACAAAGGCCCCTTCCTGACATGAAAGCAATTTGAGGATCCCACACATGAGAGTGGCTGTACTTTCAATACCCACCAACTGGGGGGAGACAATAGCAAATGCTGCCATCAATTCAGAGTGCTTGATGCAGGGTGTCTTGCAAGCAGGGTGTCTTGCAAGCAGTGTGCTTTAGTAATCATAGCAACGTCTGCATATAGTTCTAGCAAAGCGCCGGGTCTATGACACTTGTGCTTGGTCATCCTACAAAGAATATTTGCTGCGTGGGCGGGATCAGAGGTCCCATCAGATGGGGGAGTCCACCTTAGTCCGTTTGCCCCCAGGAACAGCAGCGTCTCTGCGGGGTTCATGTCCCAGCATCAAGAAGGGTTCAGGAATCTGGAAAAGGGGCTGCATATAGATGACATAGGAATCCAGAGACTAATAAAGAGTCTGGAGACAAGCTATAATTTTGAAAGGCACTGGGGGTCAGAGGACCTTCAGCCAAAGGAACTGAAGAGTACCTCCTTACCTAGGACCCTTGCTTTTATTAACACAATTTGTCCTAAGGCAAGGTGGAGATAATACACTTCGGCAGTCTCTATGCCTGCAGCCTGCAGCCTGGGTGTTCCAATAACTGAGGGGAAAGAATTCCTTGGGGCCAACAACTGAGGGAAAAGAATTCCTTGGGACCGATGGCAGCCTCTGGTTTTGCACAGCTTCAGGGCTTCCCCTTGGTCTCCCCTTCCCCCGGCTCCCCTGCAGTCAGTCCATGCTGCAGGTCCAGGACTCACCTCTGTGCACCCAGCACTCCCCAGGGAGAGGCCTCCATCCAGGGGTGGAGTGTGGCCTCCAGATTCTCACTGGGGAAAGATCCTGTTTCCTGGAGAGAAGCTGCCCTCACCCTCCACACAGACACACTGTCCTGGAGAGGGCGCAGGCACCAGGCTAGACGGGCACCGCAGGATGAGTGGAGCCTGTTGCTTCCCCTCCTGCCTGTTCCCTCGGCTGTCCTGCCTCCTCCCCCTCTCCCCGCCACCCAGGTGGGCTTGTACAATTCCAGCTAAATTGGTCTCACTGCTCTCCCTCCGCTGCTAGGACTAGCTGTGTTCACTGGGCCTGTCTTCATCCTTTTCTTTCTCTCAAAATCCTTGTTCTGATATTCTGAGCTCCTGATACCTTCCAAAGCCACACAGGTCTCTAGGCCCCCTGCCCCCCTCGCTCCCCGTCCATTCAGCTAATTAATGCATGTGAGATGTTCTGCCTGAGAACAAACTCCACCCCAGAGCTGGGGCCTCCAGCCTCGGGCCTTTTCAAATCCCTTCTTTGGAGGTAATCACCCCCAACACATAATTTCCTCTCTGCTCTAAAAGAATGTGTAGGCCTTACTCCTCTTTCTATCCCCTGTAGGCCACCACTGAAGGTCAAACTGAAGGTCATTAAATCCATTTGTTGGTCACAACTAGCTTTCTTTTTTCTTAATGAATAGAATATATCACAGTGCAGAGAAAATATCAGAGTGCATCATACACAGTAAATGTCATTTTTCAAAGGCTTGGTTTCTATTATACATATGTGTGCACCTATGATATAAAATACATATTGCACCGAGGACTGTGGTCAAAGAATCTGAAAAGACCCCACCCACTCTGGGTCCCAGGCCCGAGCTGGCTGGCTGGGACCCAGGGAGAACCAGTGGCTCCTGGGCTAACATGGGTAGGCAAGTAGCTCACTCCCAGTGTGTGCAACCCCCGTAACAGCACTCACTTGCCCCATAGTTGGTTTTTCCCAGGCCTATCCTTAGATACCAGCTAATATGTCAAAAATGAAGGAGGCCCTTATGATCTGGTCCCTTATTCCCACAATCGCATCTCTTTGCCAAATCTCATTTTAAACTTTAACAGAGGCCTGGTGCACGAAATTTGTGCACAGGTAGGGTCCCTAGGCCTGGCCTGCAATCAGGGCCGACCAGGGTCTCCAGGCAGCTGGCCAGGGCTTCCCTTCCCCAGCTGCTGGTTGCCGGCCGCTGGCCAGGGCCTTCCTTCATTCCATGCCACCCCCTGGTGGTCAGCACACGTCATAGGGCGCAATTGAACTCCCAGTCTCCCGGTTGAACTCTCGAGGGGACAATTTGCACATTAGGCTTTTATATATATAGATACTAGCTCAAAGGCAATTGAATGAAGAAATTATAGACACTTTAACAAATAGCACTAAACGAGTTAGACAGCTATATGCAAATAAAATTAATGTGGCCCTAGCCTGTTTGGCTCAGTGGATAGAACATCAGCCTGAAAACCAAAGGGTCCTGACTTCAATTCCAATCAAGGGCACGTATCTCAGTTGCAGGCTCAATCCTGGCCTCATTCAGATGCATGTGAGAGGCAACGAATTGAGGTGTCTCTCTCACATGGATGTTTCTCTCTCTCACAGGAATAGAACCATGACCTCTGGGTTCATAGGTTGACACTCAACCACTGAGCCATGCCGGCCGGGCCCATTGTTCTTCCTTTTCCCTTACCCCTCTTACCGCTGACCTGAGTCTGCCTCTGGTCCACAGGCATCCGCTGTGACAGCACGTGTCCACCTGGTCGCTGGGGCCCCAACTGCTCTGTCTCCTGCAGCTGCGAGAATGGCGGCTCCTGCTCCCCAGAGGATGGGAGCTGCGAGTGTGCCCCTGGCTTCCGAGGACCCTTATGCCAGAGAAGTAAGGCTGAGCCCCCTTTCTCCATCCTCAGACCTCACCTCAGTCACCTCATCCTCCCATCCATTCCCATTTAGAACTAGCCTGCCCTTCCTCTAGTCCCCTCTCTGCCCCCCTGGCTTTTCTGCCCCCAAGTTCAGGGCCCAGCCCCTCAATGGAAAGAGGACCAGACCACAGCTCTTCTCTGCACAGAGGCAGGCCCTCCAAGGTGTGGTGGGAGCGGCTCTCCCTGTATGTTTGAGGAGCCTCCCTTCATCACTAGGTGGAACTGGAAGGGTAACCGGGCTGGCTGAGGCCCTTTGGGCTGCTGACCACATCTCCCCATCACCCCCAGTCTGCCCCCCTGGGTTCTATGGCCACAGCTGCGCCCAGCCGTGCCCCCTCTGCGTGCACAGCAGCGGGCCCTGCCACCACGTCAGCGGCGGCTGTGAGTGTCTCCCGGGATTCTCCGGAGCCCTCTGCAACCAAGGTACTGTCTCGGGGGAAGGGAGCCAGGGAGGTGAGGAGTCCTGGGAGGGAGGAAAGGGTTTGGAAGGCTCATCATAATCTGTGGAGGCAGCTCCTTGCCTCTTCAGGGCTTGGGCCCACCTTTCTAAGACCTGGGCACCATGAGGCATAGGACAAAGCCATGATGCAGTTAAAGGCACAGGCTCAGAGAGCTCACATCATTTCTCGAAGGTCTCACAGCTAGCAAGTGGCAGAGCAAGGAACAAATTCTGATGCCAAAGCCCATGCTAAATGGGTGAAAAATAAAACAAGCGTAGGTGAGGTCCTCATGGCTTATATGAGGGCCGAGTGGTAGAGGCAGAGAAAGCTGTGGGAGCTCAGAGGAGTCGGTTCTGGCTTCAACTGGGGATGGCAACTCTACAGTCCTCCTCCCCTCGCACTCAGGCCAACATCACTAATCACACACCACCCCGTTTCCTGTCTCAGCTGCGGAATCCTTCCCAACACCAACTCCAGCCAGCCCCTGCCACTCAAAGCTTATTTGCTTTGGTGTGCTGCTAACCTGGCTCTCTGTGGGGGAGCGCTCTGATTTATAATGTTTGCAAATTTCTATAAAATATTCCCACTATGGCTGATTCCAGTGGTTTAACACCTGTCACAGAAATCCTGAATATTTAACAACAGTGCAAAGGTCGAAGCTGGCTCCAGCACACACCACGGCTTATTGCAGCCCCGGCTTAGTGTCCCCAGGGCAGTGTGCATTGGGAGATGGCTCCATGCTGGGCAGGACCTCACTGGGCCTCAGCCTGAAAGGCAGAGAAGGAAGGAGGCATTCGGGTAGAGGAAACAGCCTGGGCAAAGCACAGGGGAACGGACACGCGACCGTCCAGCAGTGGGGATGAGCTGGAGGATGGCGGAGCTGGGGATGGGAAAGGCTGGGGAGGTGGTCGGGGCCGTCGGAACAGCTTTGAACACAAGGTTACAGAATTTGCACTCTAACCTGGAAGGAGGGAAGGGATCTTAGACTAAGGTACACTTAGAGCTAAAAGCAACATCAAGGTCATCTGTGCAGGAATCTCATCTGGCCTCTGCTTAAATACTTCCATTGAGAGCTCACTACCTCCCAGGGAACTGATTCTTTTGATGAATAATCACCACTGAGCTGGGCTATTTTTATAAGTGGATGGGCCGTTAATATGTATGAGTGAAAAGTTGACTCCATGATGCTCTGAGGTCATGAGAAGTTTGGGCCCCAGGGAAACATATGTGACAGTTTCATTTGCTTGCAGCCCTCCTAGGACGGCTTAATCATAACCTGACACATGGAGGTTTACTTATTAAACACCAGAGACCCCGCCATCAATACAGATAGGCTGAGTCTAAATTAGGACCTAAGCAGCCCGAGGAGTAACTCTCAGATCCTGCGATGTCTGATTTATCGCCCACTGGCCTAATGTGTATTTTCCACATATAGATCTAATAGAGTTTGCTATTAATGGCAACTGCCCTGGTTAAGTCTCAAACCTTGTAAAAAATTGAACTGACACTTTCTAATGACCAGCTTTTCAGCGAGTTACAAATTACAGACATTGCTCATGCAGAATCATTAAACATAGATTAAATATAACCAGATGTTTTCTTTTCACCAGCCCCCCTTCTCTCCACCACCCCTCTCTGTGCCTCACTCTTGATTCAGCTATGAAGTGGCCCAATTAATGTATTATACTAATCACATTAGCAGTTCTGTGGGTAGATTTGTCAAAGACTTGTGTCTGTGACAAAGACTTCAAAGATAAGATGGTCTTGTTAGAGAAGCTCAGAATTTGTTTTAGAGATGGGGGGCGCGGGTGGAAAGCTCTAGCCAGGACGGGGGGATAAGTTCCCCAAATCAACACCTCCCAGAGGGCCTGGACTACATGTTTTTCAGGAAGCTGAAGCCAGAGCCTGAACTGCAAAGAGGAGATATGTTTATCATCCTCCAGGCAGTGGACCTGCCCTGGAAGGAAGTAGGGGTTTTACCAGGAGCACAGGGCCCCCATCAGCCACCCTGCCCATAGCTATTAACCACAGCCTGAGACTAAAATCCCCATTTCACAGATGGGGAAACACTCAGAGGAGTGATGTGGTTTGCTCAAAGCTCCTTAGCCAGTAAGTGACAGAACTTCCCAGCTGTGTGACCTGGGCAAGTTACTTAACCTCTCGGTTGCTCAGTTTTCTCATCTGAAATAGAGTTAATGAAAAGGAATAATAATGAAAATATAGAATAATGAGAGTGTTACAAGGTTCACTGAACTCATATTTGTGAAGCACTTTGAATAGTGTCTGGGGCACAGAAGTGCCATAGAAGGGCTTGTTGAACACATAAAACCTAAGCCCAAGGCTTTCGACCAGAGAGCATGGCGTACCACGCTGTTTTTACTATTTGTCCCAACCACTGATCGTGTCCAGAAGAGAGAGAGTGGACAATGATCCGAGGCACAGATGCTATCTGGTTGGGGAAGGGCTGGCCATATGGGTGCCAGGCAGTGTTGCATAAAGGGGAGTGCAGCCCAAAGGTTGGAGAGGCCTGGGCCCTGGGGAAGTTGCTTCTCTTCAAGAATCAAGGCTTCCCCGTGATCCTCCGTGTGGAGTTCCTCCCCCATAACAGGAATGCAAGGAAGCCTGGAGGGTGTAGGGCTGCTGGTACTGGGCTTTGAGGAGAGTCTGCTGAACTGAGAGGAGCTCAAAGGGACAGGAGTTTCTAGCAGAAACTATTGGAAGGTCGCTGCTCCTGGGACCTATTCTGCAACATTTCCCGAGTGATTGATGCATACCAAGTACTGTGCTGGCCACTCAGACCCAACAAAGAGCAAGAAAGCCAAGTTCCTGCCCTCAAAAAGCCTGGAGTCTAGAGGGGAACTTTTTTTTAATTTTTCTTTTTTATTGATTGTCTGATTTTAATATATATTTTTTATTGGTTTTAGAGAGGAAGAGAGAGGGAGAGAAACATCAATGATGAGAATCATTGATTGGCCGCCTCCTGCACGCCCCCCACCAGGGATCGAGCCCGCAACCTGGGCATATGCCCTTGACCAGAATTGAACCCAGGACCCTTCAGTCTGCAGGCTGACACTCTATCTGCTGAGCCAAATCAGTTAGGGCTAGAGGGGACATTTTTAAGCGCTGCCTTTCACAGCAGAACCTGGGAGACGAGTGGGGAGAGGTGACCAGTGTATTTCCACACACTCAGCCACTGTGCCTAAGAGACTGTTGTTTCTCCAGGCATTGTGGGGGACACAAACATGGGTAGAACCCAGGCCTGGCCTGAAACAGGCTTACAAGCCACAGTAACAGAACACCAGGGAAGAAATTAGCAGAGTGTTCTAGAAGCTCCAACAGAAACAAATAGCTCCCCAGAACAGAGAAGTGAATCAGGTGGGATCAAGTTCAGCTATCTATATTAATAAAAGGGTAATATGCTAATTAGACTGGACTTCTTCCAGACATCCTTCTGGACAAAGCCACGGTGGCAGGGGCTGAGGCAGAGGCAGTTAGGGGCAATCAGGCCGGCAGGGAGAGCAGTTAGGGGGCGATCAGGCTGGTAGGCAGAGGTGGTTAGGGGCAATCAGGCAGGCAGGCAGGTGAGCAGTTAGGAACCAGCGGTCCCAGATTGTGAGAGGGATGTTCAACTGCTGGACATCCCCCTAGAGATCCCAGATTGGAGAGGGTGCGGGCTGGGCTGAGGAAAACCCCCCCGCCCCTCCGCCCCCCATCAGTGCATGAATTTCATGCAACAGGCCTCTAGTAGTTGACATAAAAACCCAAAATATCTGGTTTGAAAATGACAAACATTATGTTCCTCACACATTAAAAATAAAACAGGGAGAAGACCCAGAAGTTGGCCACTGGGGAATGGTAGGGTATCCTACAAAGATGTCAGGGACCCAGGCCCCTTCTCTCTTGTTCAGCTATTCCCATCTCAGCACATGGCTTCCATGTCTGATGAAAGATGGCTGCTTGAGCTCCAGCCATCTCACGCAACATTCTTATCCATACTCTACATTATCTTTCAACAAGGAGAACAGGCAAAGAGACACAAATTTCCACTTACCATTGGCCAGAGTGTAGTCCTATGGCCACACCAAGCTATGTAGGAGCCAGGGAAATAAATTCTTTAGTTCAGGGGGCCATGGGCCCAGCTGAAACTCGAGACTCTACTAAGGAAGAAGAAAATTGATAATGAAGGACTAGCCACTTCTTACAGTGGGATCATGCAGGAGGTGGCACTTAAGATGAGTCCTGTAGGCAGGGTAGGATTTCTACAGCTGGAATGAGGGTCAGGGAAGGGAAGAGCTAGAGTGAAGATAGGCATGAGGTGCATTTGGAAAGTGGTGTGTGAATTAGTGGCTCATGTGTCTGGATGAGATAGATTAAGTGCTGATCTCTAGGATCTAGATGTTATTCTGGGGCACCGGGGAGCCACTGAGGATGCCAGGCAAGGCTCAGGTGTGCCATGAAGACAACTGTGCTTCAGAGAGCTAAAGCTGTAGGAAGAAGGTAGAGGAAGGATTGCAGCGGGAAATGAAAGGGGGTGCTTGATTAACACTCAGACCAAGTCCTAAAGTTGCTTGTGGCCTAGCTGAGGAAACTAGCCCTTCTTCCAGGGGCCAATGAGTGACTCCTCCAGGAGGGGCTGACACCAAATCCTACAAGGGACTCAGGGTGGAAATACCTTGGAAGCTTGGTGAGGGAGAGCTCCCTGTAGACCCAGGGGGCTCTCCTGAGGACAGGGCTGAGCTGAGGCTTGAGGAACAGGTCAGATTTGGAGAAACAGAGGAAATAGGTGGACAGGATAGACATTCAGGGCCAATAGACAGCAGAGAGACCTGCCTTCTGCATCTGTCCCTCTCCTTCCAGCTACATTCTCTGCCCTCATGGCTATGGGATTAGTAATGTTGGCAAGAGTGTGGTAACGGAGGGCAGAGGCTGTGGAGCAGTGCAGGGAGCACTGGATGGGTGCAGCGGTGGGATTCCCAGCTCTCCACTTGTGTCTGTGAGACCTCAGTCAAGTGATCCTACCCCATGGGCTTCAATCGGTTCCTCTGCTGGAGGGGGTGCAGCTGTGGGCACGAGGGGGGAACTCATTCCTGTGCAGATGGAGAAGGACTGAGATGGGCAGCTCCTAAATAGACCAGGATGGTCATGGCTATAGTCTGGAAACTTCTGGGAATGCAGCTGTGGGTGGTAGTCTGAGTACTGATGGAAGGGCAGGTACCAAACTGTCCTGTGCCCACAGTATGTGCTGGAGGGCGCTTTGGGCAGGACTGTGCCCAGCTCTGCTCCTGTGCCAACAATGGGACCTGCAGCCCCATCGATGGCTCCTGCCAGTGCTTGCCTGGATGGATTGGCAAGGACTGCTCACAGGGTAAGCTGCTGCCTCCTGGGAATGTCCCCTACCCCAGGTAAGGCCCCCAATGACCCCACTCCTTGCCACTGGTGCCTCTACCTCCCAGAGCTGAAATTTCCTGTGATAGGAATGTCCACCTGAGTCCCGCTTAGCTCTCTAGCTAATATGATGAATTATTAGGATTGATCACTGGCATTATTAACTGCCAGTATCAAAGGTATTAATATTGTTAATATACAATATTAACAATTAATATTGTTAATACTGAAAATTAACACTCCATCAGCACCTGAGCAAAGAGTAGCCCCTATGTTTGGATGGAGAGAAGAGGGGGCAAGGACTGACTGGCATGTTGGAGTTAGGGAGTAGGGAAGTGAGGTGAGGCCAGGGCAGTCACCTTATAGGGGCAAGGGCATCCTGTGGGTGTCCCATATGAATGGTCCTGGGCACCATTTAGGCCTAGACAGGGCATTCTGGGGGCTGTTCATATAAGGTGTATCCAATCTAATGCTCTGTGTAACTCCTTGGCTGATGGGTGAGACCCAGCCCGTACCCTTTAGGGAGGTCCCAGTGAGATGGTCTGGCCTGAGGGAATTTCTGTTCTGATGGAGACACAGGTGCCATCCTCAGGGAGCTCACCAGCCAAAAGAGCAGAGTCCCTACCCTGGGGAAGTTCCCATCCTCATGGGGAAGTTAGCGCTCAGTGTTCACATAGTAAACTAGGATGTTTACAACACACACACACACACACACACACATTCCAAATCAGTCAGTCCCAAGAGGGGAGGTTTAAGGAGCCCTCAGAGCTGAGAGTGGGCAGAGAATCTGGACTTAGTGAACAGAGGAATTCTGAGAATACGGTAACCCCCTCTCCCCCCGCCCCCAAGTCAGGAAATGCCACCTGGATGCCTCCTGGCATCTTGACTCTGACATGCACCCTTCCATCCTCTCTCTCCCTTTCCTCTGCTCTTCTCTGCCTTGCCCTTATCCTCCCATCCCACCCTCCCCCAGCTTGCCCCCCTGGGTTCTGGGGCCCTGCCTGCTTCCACACATGCAGTTGCCACAATGGAGCGCGCTGCAGCGCAGAGGATGGGGCCTGCCACTGCACCCCAGGCTGGACTGGACTCTTCTGCACGCAGCGTAAGCTCCGCCTCCTGGCCTCCAGCTCCTCAGAATCCCGTGGGGGCCTGCTGGGGGCCTTGGGCATTGTTCAGGGCCTCTGTGGAAGGCGGGAGGAGGTGGGGTCCAAGGGCTGGGGGAGAGGAGGCCTCTGGGCTGGGAGCACTCCCACCTCTAGGATTGAGAAGCTTGGTTGGATGAAGGGGTTAGAGCCCAGAGTCTCAGGAGGCCAGGGCTGGCGGATTCCCCAGCAATCACCAAGACCAGACCTCCTTTGGACAGGGGGGCCCAGGGTGAAGAGGAGTAGCCTGTTACTACACAGCCAGGAGACCCCAGCCTGGCTTCTAGTTCCAGGACACCTTTGTCCAAATGACTCGCCACCCCCTCAGTGTGAGGGTTCAGAGTGTGGGAAAGGCCCAGGTGCATGGTCTCACTAGTCTTCACTCTATGCTCAGAGAGAGGTGGCAGGAGACAGGTCTGGTCCCAGCTGCACCTCCCCAGTTGCCCCCACCCTGTCTCTCCAGGCTGCCCAGCAGCATTTTATGGGAAGGACTGTGGGCGCGTGTGCCAGTGTCAGAATGGTGCCAGCTGTGACCACATCAGCGGCAAGTGCACCTGCCGCACAGGCTTCACCGGGAAACACTGCGAGCAGAGTAAGCTGTTCCAACCCATGCCCCTGGGTGTCGGGGCCGGGCCTCAGCCTCCCTCTTCAAGGGCCCCCCATTCCGGGCTCCACACCCTGCTCCCTTGACTTCTGGAGTAACTTCCAAGGAAAGGCGCCGAAGATCATGCCTGCGTTGGTGTTTGGTTTCTTCCTCCAGTTGGGTGGGGATGGTGGATTGTTGAGGCACAGCACAAGCCTGAGGGGTCATGAGGGAGGCAGACCTTGTTCGATCCTTCTTTGCAGCCCCTATGGCACCCAGCTTAGGGCTTGGCATGTGGAGGATACTGTATAAATGTGTTAAATGTGAAGGAAATAGGGGTGGGTGTCCCCCAACTCAGGGGTAGAGGTGCTGTCTGCCCCCAAGTATCAAATCAAAGCATAGCAGTAGCTAGAGAAAGAAGTAGGTTCCAGTCTGTGAGGCAGAGCTGCCCATGTATGGACGAGAGGGTGGAGTGTGGCTGCATCTCACTGTCTACCCCAACTCTTCATGTTACACAGGATGTGCCCCAGGAACCTTTGGCTATGGCTGTCAGCAGCTATGTGAGTGCATGAACAATGCCACCTGTGACCACGTCACTGGCACCTGTTATTGCAGCTCTGGATTCAAAGGAATCAGGTGTGACCAAGGTAATACACAGAGGGCAGAGTCTCAGGCAAGGGGCTGTGGGAAGGGCATGCAGGCAGACTCTAGGGAGATCCCAGCAGGAACAACTGGATTGTATAAGGACACTTCGTGACTTTATTCACCTTTGGGCAGAGAGGGGGAGTAAGGTGGGTGGAGAAGGGAGGGAGGAGTTTCCAGATGCTGGAGAGCGGATGGAGCAGGCAGCCTCAGCTTCACTGTGCTCATCCTTGGCAGCTTCCTGTGAGCCAAGCAAGGGTAACCACAAGCTAGTGCTGGGGAAAGTGACCAGGCCATCTGAAGATCTACCAAATTCTGGTCTGCCAACCTGCTAGGTGTCCTTGGGCAGGGCATTTCCTTTTATTGGGCCTGTTACTCCACATGCAAAGAGGAAAGAGTAGATTAGATTAGCCCTTGTCTTCCTTCATGGCACGATGTTCCACTGAGAGCCAAGGAACCCCAAGGGGCTCAGCCTTGGCTCCGGGTCTACAGTCCGAAGACCTCCATAGGGCAGTTGGGATGACCAAGTTGAAATAATGTGAGCCCTTGAGAAATGGTTTGTATACATAAGACCCCTATGTAAAGTGCTGCAAACAGGTAGTGAGTTCTATTGCTATTGGTTCTACGGAAATGGGGGATAAAAATGGGCTCAGTTATCCACATGACAGAAAAGGGACCAAAACCATGCACATTGCATTCTGATGGGCGTTAGCCTATACATATATCAAGAGGGGTTTTGTGGGAAGTAATCATGGGCACACTGGTACAGCACTCACAGCTGTCATTGTCAGTCTGTCAGGTCGTGCTCACAGTCCCCTGCAGAGGGTGCAATTACTGAGCCAACTGAGGACTCTCTAAGTCACATCTAAGAAACACAGCTAGTAAGCAGGGAGAGGGGCTGAGTCCAGTTTTTCCGACTCATGAGAAACCTGACACTACCAATTACTGGTTGATCTTGGGCAAGTTACCTAACCTTTCAGTGACTCAGTTTCTCCATTTGTGAAAGAGAATTAAACTGTCCTTATTTCACCAGGCTGCTGGGAAGGTTAAATGAGTTATTATCTAACTTATTTTTTGAAGAAGAGTAAAATATTCAAACATTGTTTTGTTTCCGATCCACGATCACATTTGTCCCTGGGGAGTTCCCTAGGACTCCACTCACTTTAGGCAACTGAAGAAATAGGCACAGTAAGGGATTGGGATCACGGGAATTAAAGACTAGGGCCGGGACCAGAACCAAGCCTCCTAGTGTTAGGAGTCCAGGGCCCACAGAGATCTGAAGAGCCAGCAGGCTTCCCAGCTGAGGCCCTCCCTCCACCCACAGCCGCCCTCATGATGGAGGAGCTGAATCCCTACACCAAGATCAGCCCGGCGCTGGGTGCAGAGCGGCACTCGGTGGGTGCTGTCACAGGCATTGTCCTCCTGTTGTTCCTCATTGTGATGCTGCTGGGCCTTTTTGCCTGGCGCCGACGCCGGCAGAAAGAGAAGGACCGCGACCTGGCTCCCCGCGTCTCCTACACACCTGCCATGAGGATGACCAGCACTGACTACTCCCTCTCAGGTAAGGGCTATCCCCCAGCATTCCCGTCTCCCTCACACACACCACTCAGGAAGAGCCACAACATATCCTTGAGGGGCCCCTGAGTTTACTGCTCAAGGTGGGTGGTGATGCCTGCAGGGTGGGTGGGGCTGGAGGCTCAGACTCCCCGAGAGAGATGATGGGAGTCGAGAGCAGGAGCCTACTTGAGAAAGGTAGATGAGGTCCCGTGGGGTGTCATTTCCTGGGCCCCCAGCTCTGAGTGCCTGTGATTAGGAGCCTCCTTCCATTTCCCCAGACCTTCCCATCATTCAGCCACAAGAGCACCCACCTAAAGAGCAACTTTCCTAAACTCTCCAGGGGAACCTTTCCCCAGCCTGATGGCTCTGACAACTCAGGACCCTGTCCTAATTTTGCTCCTTTGGGTGAAGGTCTCAGAGTAAACCTCCCTTCCCAGTTCCCAGAGTCAGGAGAGCCCCAAGGGGATTGTGCCTGACTTGGGGGAGATCTGAAAGTGTGGGCAACATCCCTCTGGCCAGGCCCATTGGAACTCAGTCTGTCCATAAATGTGGTGGTAACTCTCAAACATCAGCCACGGGATTCTGGGTGTGGGGGCTCGGGGGACACACACACTATTGGGTCAGATCCTTCCTCTCCCCTCAACCCTGGACTGCTGCCTTAGAAATAAGGAAGGCTTTTTGCTTCATATTTAGTTAAAAAGAAGAGATTGAAATGCTCTGAAATTGCCCTCAGCCCTGAGCACAAGGATGAGAGCTCACTCCAGCTGGCCCCATTGCTCGTGGCTGATCTGAATGAAGCCTCCTACACCTTATATTTACAAAACCAACATCATGTCAGCCCTTTCTGGCTACATGTTGCCTACTGTGTGCCCAGCTCCATGCTAGGTGCTATAGGATAGAAGGTGGCCCAGATATACACCTTACCTTCAGAGTCCCTGGCCTACAATCCCGCCACCTCCCAACTCCCATCCTGGGGTTTCAACCAGAGCAGGTATCCTCTGATGAAAGCCCAGAGATTTGGGGATTTTCATCTATGACTGTAATAAGCAAGGTTGGCCAGGTTTTCCCATGCCATTCCACTGGAATTCCCCTGCCCTATCAAGAGGTCCTGGAAACCACAGGGCAGGAGGGCAGGACTGGAGCCAAGGGGAGTAGGTTTCTCTTTATGGCCTCACTACTGGGATCTAACCTTGGGGGAGGCAGGAGAGGATCAGCACAGCCCTAAGTATTGACTGCGGGACAAGCGAGGCTGTCAAAGCCAACGTTTCCTCATCCATGCTCCTGGTGCCACCCTTCACACTGGCAGCATTATTGTGCATCCTGCATGCTTCAGGGAAGGCCACTGCAAGGGAAGGGGAAATCAGGCTCCACAAATTTCAGTAGGGGTAGTGGATGCCAAAAGTTTGGGGGATGGAGGACTTGGCTATCCCTTTGCAGAGCACCCTCAAGGCTGACCAGCCCAAGCATTAGTATTGGGGCATCTCATGCCAGGGGCAAGAGTATGATGGTATGTGGCAACTTGTTCTCTTCCCAGATTTGTCTCAAAGTAGCAGCCATGCCCAGTGCTTTTCCAATTCCAGCTACTACGCACTGGAGTGCAGCGGGCCTGCCACCAGCCAGGCCAGCACTCTGGACAGGAACAGCCCCACCAAGGTACCGGGCCCCTGACTCCCCAGCCCCTGTCCACCCATTCGGCCCTCACCTCTGCCCAGAAAGGAACTGTAACCACCACCCCCCACACCCCCCCACATACACACACACTGGAAGGTCCCCTGGAACTAACTGCCAATACATTAAACACAGCCCTGTGGTCCATGGGACATGTAAACACTCTGTAAGCATGTAACAGGGAACCTGCAGGTTACATGGAGCAAACAAGCACCATGTAACCAATAGGAATCACATGTAACTAACCACAGCATCACTCAGTATAACAAACCCCCACACCCTGTGTGCAACCAGTTGGTACCAAGCCATGTGATCATATAATCATGTGTAACCTTGTCACATAACTATGTACACCATGTAGCCACTTTTGCCACATGTTAACACATATAATCAAAATACTACACTACAAACCACCAATCACTGCAGTAGGTTACCAATACCATGTATGCAATCAGCACATTAGAGAGTAACCACTATTACTCAGGTAACCAGCTCATGTCCTTGTACCTGGACATACAACACGTCATCAGTGCACAACCATTTATTATAATCAGAACTAATGCAAGGGACGTGGGACCCAAACATCAGCCACAGTTAGTGTTCTCGTTATCAGCGAGTCCTGTGGGCCTTCCCTCACAGCTCCGAGCATAACCCTGGGCTGGTGGCAAGATGTCATCTTACAGGCCCTTGGGCAAGGATGTCTCAGAACACATGTGTAGTAAGCCCTGCTGGTGTACCAGGACCCATACCTGGCAGAGTGGGAGGTTCAGAAATGAGGAAGAACAGCCTCAAGGACCACAATGTTTGACAGGCTCATGCTGCCCATACCTCCTGACACCCACCTATGTATATACACACAATAGCAGGCCCAGACTCCTGGCTTCCTGTAACACCCCTCCTGCCAGGAACATGGACAGGAGCAGTTTTTATATTCCAGGCCTCTGCCCTAGAGCTCGGGGAAATCTTTCTCCCTGTCTGCTCCACAGAACTGACAGCAATGCAGCTTGAACCCCCTAGGCCAGATACTGTACAACCAAGGACAACCACTGTCAAGCCAGCACTCCAAGGCCACACACCTTTGATTTTCCAAATGGGAGCGCTGCACACAGGATGCCTTGAGGCCTATATGCAAGACTGTGGCCATCAGCCCCATACACAGCCCTATAGCTCAGATCCCCATTCCCAGCTTCAGCTTTAGGCTTATCCGAGGAACTGAAAGCTAAGGGAAAGGAATTGCACTTCCCAGGAGGAGGCCCTTGATTAACTAGAGCCACATTATCAAGGCTGCAGCAGGTAAGAGACAGAGGATGCCAGGGATGACAAGGTCCTTTGTGGCTATGTCATTCTTGGTCTAATAGAAAAGTGTCAGCCACTTTCAGTAAAGTGCTGGAGTTCCTGCAGAGCAGCCCACTTATTAACTCTCCGGCTCACCTTACCCCAGGGTCCAAAGTGGCTCTGTGTGGTCCAAGACCCCTCAGCCTGGCAGATAAGACATAGGTAGCAAAAGCAGGCACCTGTGATGAGATAATATGCATATGGGTCCTGCAGCTGAGACCATCTGAATTGTAGACCCAGCTCTGCCACAGACTCCTTGTGTAACCAAGTGTAGGACCCACAAGCAGGACCTGTAAAATGAAGATAACCATCTTTGCCTCATACGGCTCTGAAAAGCAGGAAGAGGAAAGATTGCACCATAAGAACATCATACCCTGAAGCGTCCCCTTGGTCATATGAAAGGGAGACTCTCACACTCAGTCCCAGTCCAGTGGCCGAGGTGCCAGTGATGTTGCAGGCGGCCTCAGCACCATCCTGTGGGGAGATGGCCTCATGTTGCAGGTGCAGAGTGCCAGAGCACACCTACCCCTGTCAGGATCAGCTTGGTTCAGGCAGGTTCTCTGCCCTTGGGAGGACCTTCCCCTGCCCTCCTTTTCCCCAAAGACCTGGAAACCCTACAGCTTCAGCCAGACAGCTTAAATGGGTGTATGCTCTGCTCTGCTGCCATCAGCCACACCAAGGTGGCCTCTCACAGAACACCTAGCTCTCCCTTTCCCTCAACACTAGGACATAGGTGGGTGCACAAGGCTGGGAAGAGTGAAGTGTGGGCAGGGGGCACCTCCAGGTACTAGGTATTAACCGGCTCTCCTACTTTCCAAACAGCTCAGTAACAAGTCCCTTGACAGAGACACAGCAGGCTGGACCCCTTACAGCTATGTGAACGTGTTAGGTCAGTAGTGGTTTGACTATGGTCCCTTGCCATCATGTCCTACCCTGTTCTCCTTCTCTGCACTGAGGGGGGCCCTGTCCTAGCTCTAAGAGAGAAGGTAGTAGATGAATTCTGAGCATGATTTCCCCCAGGGAGAAGGGTGTGGGGAGGAACCCCAAGTGCCTGTTACAGACTCATAAGCAAATGAAGCCCAGGACCCTCTTCATTCCTGTATTAGGGGGTAGGGAGAGGGTGGCTGTGACCC